TTCATATGGCAAAATCGAAAAACGCTATTGGTTTATTTGTCACAAATATTGGTTTCAAGGATGAAGCGGTGAATCAAGTAAAGAATTTAAATCGAAAGATTATTCTATGTACCGATGAAAATCTTTTAGAGATGATGGAACGATGTTATGAAGATCATAAGAAGGACGATGATAACTATTTAAACTTTGGTGATGTTATTATCGATAATCTTGAATTCGAAGATGGAAAAGTCAAAAAAATTGGAAAAATCTCTATGCGAACGACCCGATTTCAGCCATATTAATTAAAAAGCATTGATTGTTTTTTTTTTGATGTATATAGCAATCATTTTTAGATAAAGTCGAGAATTATCAATAAAGTTTATTTTTTACGCATTTAAGTAAATACAATTGATTTTATTTTTGTATCTAGAAGTGCACATAGGTTATGTTTTACTTCGAACTACTGTTCTAGTGTTACAAACCTAATCAGAATTTAAGAAATACAAAAAATCGGTCATAAATCAACATATTACCTACGAAACCACCTTCGCGCATTAACAAAAAATTTTTCTAGCAAAATTCTAGTATTAAAAAGTTCGTTTAACTTAATAGCCAAACCTATCCCTAATCTAGCTGCGAAATTTCAATTTTACCGTTTTCTATTCGTGTATTTGTAGAGATAGCAGAACAATAAGTTTACAATTTACAAGAATTGCTGCCTCATGTAAATTCCGATCCTTTTTTTAATGACAAACTCCAAGATAAATATATGCATTACGTTTATTTTTCATAAATTCCGCAAGAAATCTATGCGTTTTGTCGATCATTCGCCTCGATTGATCAAACTAATTTTAAACTTGGCGTCAAATTAATTCTGTCGATTATTGATAAAATCTGGCATAGATTTATAATACATATACTGCATGAACGTTTTAAACTTATTCATTAATTCGATAACAAAACTAAGATCATGAATTCGGCATACGTATGTAGATATGTATGCGTAATCACGGGCAAGATAATCATAACCATATCGATATTAAGGATGGTCCGGCTTATGTACGTATTATAAAAAGACCTGATTAATTAATAAGGCCAAGTGAGTTGATAACTTCTAACCGGTATAATTAGAGTTAAAAAAACTGTAATAGTTTAGTCGCGAAACCAAAATTCAGAGGATCGACCAACATTTAGAATAGGCTGGAACTAAGCAATAATACCAGCCAATTATAGCCACCTAAAAAAAGTTTCGGTTACGTGATGAATATATCGAGCTTATGTAACTTAACAAAAAAATTTAAACTACGTAACAAAATAATAACGATAAATAATTCGAATAACTCAATACTGCAACAAAAGTAATATTTATCACAGCCAGAAAGTATTATGATTATGGTTTTTCTAAGTATTTGGAATATTTCGTTACCTTTTAACATTGCCTTTTAAATGGTTATAATCCTCCAATTTATGCAATGGCACAAAGTTTTTATTAATACTATCGAACCATTGTTGCTATTTGGATTAATTATGTTTTCTTCAATAATTTTTGTTTCTGTGTCCGGGATTTAAATAAATAATCAGAGTTATAATCTTCCAGAAGAGCATTAAAAATAAAATCTGCAAGAGTTTCTAGTGCAATTGCATTGTCTTGATTAGTTTTTATAAATTTATTTCGATTTTCATTCTTTTTTCATTTATTGTTAGTGGAAATTTGGTTACGGTAATTAACATATATTTTTAGAATAGGTGTTTATTGGATTTTATGCTTTTAACGATCGCTTTTCATTTTAAAGAATCGAAGAAAAAAATTACTAAATCAATTATGTAAATATTTTAATAAATATTAGAGAATTGTTATTGCCACCCCCACATGCCCTTGCCGGTTTCCGACTCAAACCATGTGACTCGGATAGTAGTACAGATTACGTAATCAGTGGCTTACGAAATTTGATAGTTGTACACTACGTGACTGGTGTAAAAAAAATTTATACATGCACATATGTATCTAAACATTTATATCTGTTCAATTCATAAGTTGAAGCTTACCTACATACCATAACTATACTGCCACAGTCATATCAATTTTATCTTAGTAGTATTAAGCATATATTCAATGTGGCATAATACATGTATATATGTTTTTATTACACAAATAACATAAGACATTGTTATATCTTATCACATAAATATGATGGATATCATGTACACATTATGCTAATCATGTAAACGTTTTAATTATAATGTAAGTGTTTTGTAAAACTTAAATATATTTCTTATTCTTAGTTAAAAAGAGATGATGCTTTTTAAATTCTTAAAAATAAAGATTATATAAATTTACATTTTCTTTTATAATAAAAATTTAAATATTTGAGTTCTTTTATATTTTAATTCTTATAAATTTTCTAAAGTTAACCATTAGAACATAATAGTACCAAGTTCCATTATATAATAGTTACAGTAAATATTTATCAATATCAGTAATACAAAAATTGTATATTTTTATTATATAACTAATAAATTACATAAATAATAAGTAATTTATAATGCCTAGATAGAATTTTGTTTGACAGAATAATCTCTATAGTAATTAAGTAGAATAGTATACTATATTTGATTAATAATTATTAATTTATTTCTGAGTTATTTTTTAACAATTATATTTAAAGAACAGCAAATTTATTTTTAAGTTAAGAAAGGTAATTATTTTGGTTATTTTTTTATAACTATTGTAATTTGTAGAATTAGGGTCCCATAGTCTAGTGGTCTAGGCATTCTGCCTTTTACAAACAAAATTAATAGTTCAATTCTAGCTGAAGGCAACTTTGTAATCTATGAAAGCATATGAATATATACAAAGCCCTGTAGTTAAGTCTATATGAATAGAAAATCAATGTATAAAAAAGTTTCTAGAAAGAAGTTTTCCAATATAGAAAGTTGACACTCAATGTAAAAAAAGTAGTGAACATATCAAAAATAAAGAAAAAATACACTAGAGATAATAAGGTAAACATAAAAGAAAACTTAGAAAAGAAATAGACTTATCAAAATTTGATCACTTTTAACATCAAATTAGTTCTAATAGATATGAGATCTACTAAAATTAGATAAATCTCAAAAGTAATCTTAGTACTATATTTAGTAAGTTTATATCAAGAGAAATTTAAAGAATTATAGATACTTAGTAATATTCAATAAGGTGGTATTTAGATATAAATAGTAATTAGATAGCTCTAACTTGTTCTGTCTTAATAATAGTAATATATTATATTTTAGATATATGAAATAAGTGTTAAAAATTAGTAGGTTATCTATAGGTAGAACTCTTAATTAGATAATGACTAAAGTTATATATATAACTAGTTATATTTTTGTTAATATACATTGTATATAAATATATAGTCATATATTATTAATAATAATAAAACATATAGACAAGATTATCTTTAAAACTAAAAAAAAATTATTGTAATTTTTTAATAACTCAAACAAATAATTTAATAGAAAAATTCTTTTTTTTGTTTTTGCTAAGACTAATATTTATTAGAAACTATTGCTTTTATTAAATTTTTAATTATATATAACTTTTACAAAATAAGTGTTCAACTAATTACACATACAATTTTTAGTTATCTATTTAAGTAGTCTGCTTACAAGTTTTATACTAACTATCATATCTGTAATTTGCTATGAGATTATTTATTTAAACATTCTAATCTTTATACTATATCAGTTGAATAGGCTTATAGCTTCTATATATCTAAGTACTGTTTAATCTAAGATTTTCTTTTTATATATTGATTAAGTTATTACTTGTTTTAATGCATATCATCTAATTATAAAACTAATAGTACTTTTTTGTTAACTAATCTATTTATTTTATAGACTATTAATAGAGTTTATTTTTGTAAAGTTTACTTGAACTCTAGTATTAATTTTACAACATGTCTCTAATATTTATAATATATTTCTGTTTTGTTCTTAGATTTCCAATTCAGATAGCTTAGTAGAACTATAACTTATTTTTTATATATCAAGTTCAGTTTAATATTTTTTTTTTAGTTTGAATTTTGACAATTTGGTTGATAATATCTCTTATTTAGAAGTTTATATCTGCTTGATTTTTTTATATTAATATTCATTTTTTAGATCTAATCTTTATAGTAGTATTATTAAAGATTTATCTTATCTTTTTACTTAGATTTTTTAAATATGTTTTAGTTTTTTTTAGTTTTTTTTTTTTTTTTTATATAGTTAAAGTCCCTATCTTGGGAGATGCAATGTTTTTATTTAAGTATATTAAGAAATGAGAGCCTTCAGAGGCTTCCTTACATTGAAGGTTACAACTAGCCACATGTGCACTTTTGATGTCTAATTTAAGTAGTTTGCTTATATATTACTATATAAGTTCTATACTAGTTGCCATACCTGCAAGCCAACTAGGGGTCTTGCTTATTTAAACTCTCTGCATATGCAATCCTCCTTGTATTATAAGAACATCTTAAGACTATATTTATCCAAGTTTCTGATACTTATTGTTATCTTTAGAACTACTTTATTCTTAATAGGAAGCTTATTAAAGCTTTCATGTTTCACACATATAGACCTAGTTTTATGCAATATACTATAGTTACCTAACACTTGCAGTCATAGGGGTTATCTGTTTAACTGCTATGTTACATTATTTCTATTCTTGTAAAGTTCACTAGAACCCTAGTACCTATCTTCCTAGCATCTTTTCTATCATCTTCTTCATTATTCTCTACTAGCCACAACTCAGAACCATTAGTCTTATTTCAAACTACCAATCCAGATGGCCTGATATAATATACTTCTGTATCCTTTTCCTTCAGTAAATCTGGCAGCCTGGTTGGTTATGTGCTCCTCTATATATATTTAACATTTAGTTTTAACTTTTGGCTCCTATGAAGGTGTTTTGTAGGCTTTTATCAGTTTAATGATACTATCAAAAGTTCATGCTACCTCTTTATTTAGAAATTTTCAAGTGAGTTTCTGTCACCTCAGTTCCTTAGTCTTCTATGCCTGATGGTCTTATCATGTGTTTGCACTGAAGTCTTATACAATACCAGTTATACATTCATCTATATATATATAATATTACACTTCACATAGATGTCTGAGCTCCTAATGTCAATAGAACCTGACTTGGTATATATAAATAACAGCCACATAAGGCCAACTGATTAACAGAAGACAGTTACCATAATGCAAATATAATTTCCAAATTTTATTATAGGTGGGATTTGAACCTTAGACCTGTCACTTGAAGGATGACAACCCAACT